AATTGTCAGGCTGGTTTTACACTTACATGGATCTCCAATACACATGGATGATTAGGGACCAAAGGGTCTGCTGCTTTGCCAGTTCCTGAAAATGTTTTATTCCCTGAGTAATGTCGTATGCCATTTCATTGTTTTCACGCTTTTATTAATTGCCTAATTGTATCTTCTCTGGAATGATGGATCATCATTTACAATTTTAAACAAAATATCAATCCCTAATCAAATCCGGTTCCGGACTGGAACTTTTTCAAATCACCAAAGATCCAAAAGTGTGAAATATATTTGGCAGAAACCCTGGGCTGATGGTTGATCCCAGAACTGTAAGTATTTGTCTGATCTGGAGGTGAGATTAGGGCAACCAGTGTTAGGACTGGATGGGGGTGCCAACCTCCTTCCCCACTCCAGTAGGCCTATAGTAATGAGTGGAGAAGCATTTGCATCATAACTATGAGCAAAGGAGAATGGGGATCGTCAAAGCAGTAGTCATTCTGGGGAGAGAGATTACACCATGATGGCCATGAGGGGGGCAGAAAAGGGGAGGCAAGAATGCCCTTCAGCCAGTAAGAGAGCCCTTACGGGCTTTAGCTCGAGGCAGCAGCAGTTAAAAAAGCTTCAGTGGGCCTTCCAGAAAACTTTCTCAGAACCGGATGAGGATTGCACATACCAGCCTGGTTCAGTGCCATATCATGTATTGGGGAAAGATCAAGGTGCTCTGTTGCAGAGTCACAGGTCTTAAACAAGCTGTACCAGTGGTTAGGAATGAAAAAGACCTAGTTTACACCCCTGCATGCAGAGTGATGAGTTAGTAAACCAGTTCAATCACACCCTTACTGTGTGTCACCAGAAGAACTCATCTTCCATACCAAACAGTTGAGCAGGGGTCCTATTCTGGATTTGTATTAAGTACTTCATTTGTTTTAACATTGTCCACCTCTGTTAAAAGAGACGAGCAAGACCCTTGGGAAGGAGGAGCTATAAAAGGGATTGGGAGAGCTCAGTAGAGAGATAGTAACTTGAGTTTTTTTTTGTTGTTATCAGTCTTTGAAGGCAATAAACCCAGTTTTGTTTGCATTTGAAGACTGCCGTTTTGGGAGTTTCCTTTCTTTTAAGCCAAGCCTTGTTTCTTGGATGGCGAAATCCTCCTATTGCGCCCTGGCAGGACTCATATTCTGAAGAGAGCTTCACACTCCTTTAGACCTGACATTTCAAGTGGTGGTAAGTGGGATCCTCTGCCAAGTTGGCACTCCGATTACCTGTCAGACACTGGAAGGAAGATTCAGTAGTTTACAAGGAAACACTTCACCTGGGGTCATTTAGACGTGTACTAAGTACTAAGACGTGAGAGCAATCCTTTTTGTCTTGTTGACAAACAGGGTGCTCTGTCACAGGCAAAAGAAGAGGCTGTGCCCCATGCTAGCTAGCAGGAGGGCCTGTGTACAGTGTTGGAGAGATTGTCAGAAGTTGTCACCTTATCAGGATTTAGAAGCACTTGTGCACCCAAAACTAGATTGATCTGCTCCACTAGGAGTGAACCCTACATACCCTACATGACGGCCCTGCAAGTGGAGGCACAAAGATTCCTGAGAGAGAGGCAAAGGAAACTGAGCAGGAGCCTGGGAGTGTTGCCTCCCTGGTGAGGTCGTGTAATGGTGAACATATAAGAAGACCATCTGACACTGCTGGTTGGTAGGGATGACCAGCAAGGATGGTCATGAAGCAGGAGGCTGGCAGTGTAACTGTCACTGTCCCATTGGACATATGGCAGAGAGACACCCTGTGGCTGGAGTGGTTGATCCTGGAACTGGAAATGGGGAGATGAGGGCAACTGTTGATAGGACTGTTACCCTGGTAACCTTAGGGTGACGCCCCCCTAGCATGCCTTAAGCAGGAAGAGGAGGAGCACTCACTCCAGAATTCCAGATGGCTTAGCTCTTAATGTTAATAGTTCATGACATTTAAGGTTTGGTTCTCTGCACATTGGTATGTTCCAGTTCTCAATTTCATGCTACAGAATTATATCTGGAAAGGCTTTAGCCTATTATGTGCTATGCAAGTGGGATGAGGCTGTCAGACTTCAAGTGTGTGTAAACTTGTTTCATTTCTGTAACCACAGCTGTCATTGGCACTGGAATGTGATTCAAGTGGGTATTGTGCAAGAGAACTATCAGCATGATGAATCACAAAGATCATAATTCAATGAAAAAATAAATAAAACAAGCCCAGAACAGTAGATAATTAGTAATTAGTTTAGGCATTAAGTGTTGCCTAATTCCACCTACCTGAGGTTACTCTGTCACCCAGGAATTTGGTGTTACAAGAGGTCCCCCTTGTGGTCAAGTAAATTGAGAATTCCATTGTACTGACACGCTATACATTTTTATTCAACTGTTTATTACTTTTTAGCTGCAGAGACGTCATGCCACTAGACAGAACTTGTTAACACCACGTACAGGTCTGCTGGTGTCTAACTCCGGTTTCTTGCTGGTTAACTTCCAGCCCTTGGCAGCCTGTGCTTTAACGAGTGGCAGTGTTGTATAGTTGTTAGGCATCTTGACTGCCTAGCGTGTTGTGGTTGAACATCCCAGATATTACTGCTGTACCCTTGAGCAAGGTGCCTAACCCAGACTGACCCAGTAAACCAAACTGTATAAAAGAATATGAAAATATGTTTAGGAAAAAAAAGGAAAAGGATAAAAATGTCAGTTAAATTGATTAATAATAATAATGTCAGATAAACTCAATATTATTTCTAGATCATTGAAATTTGAGCAGAAATTTTAATCAGGCTGCATTATATTGCATTATTTGCCATAATCCTGAAGAAGTTAAATTAGTCATATTTGAATCTAATGAAAAATCAGTTGTGCAGTGCAGTTTTGTGTGGTTATTTGAAGTACTCATTTAAAAAGCCTGGAAGACAGGAACAACTGGAATGAAACAGCTCCAGAGTTCTAACAGCTCCTCCAAACTGTTTCCTATTATTATTAATAATACTACCTAATACTCTTTATTCATTAATACTCATAATTCTTCTCTTTTTCACACAATGTGTAACCACACAAGAAAAAAAGGACTTTGTTTCCATGTTTGCATTTAAGTGTTTGAGCAATCACAAAGAAAGCATTTATGTTTAAAAAACAAAAAGATTGATTGTGAATTCATTTAGCTGGATTGCTTTTCCTGCGTCATGCTGGTCTGTATTCAGAAAATGTGCAGACTAAGAGGGTTTTCTGTAGAAACCCACTAGCAGACTACACTACACCTGCAGGTTCCATGAACCTTAAACAATGGGACTCCATTTACTACACCTGCGTCACACAGTTCAAAGAACACTTTTTGATTATTATACAGTATAAAGAGCAACTGTTTCTGTTGTCAAAACCAATGTTAAATACTGTTTTGATGTTTTAACTATATCTTGTTTAATAATATATTTATATAGAAAAATGTAGACCCTTATATTATTATAATATTAATTGGTTAGTTTAAAGAACTATTCCTTATTAAACTTTACTTATTTTTTAATAATGTATTTCTGAAATGTATTGAAAATTCAAGGCACAGCTGTAAAAATTCCACTGGACAATAGGGGAATTGTAGTGAAAATGATGTTAAAACTGCTTTGCAAGAAAATTGGCTTATAAATGTACTTTGTTCTCTTTCTTTATCACATATCTGCAAGCTTAAGCAAACACAAAAAGTTGTGAATCCCTTTTTTAGCTGTCTGTTCTGAAGGCAGACCTAGTGCGATGCATTCTATGTGTATTGAGCTCAATAAAGGCTGAATCTGCACAAGGCTTCTCTGCTGAAGAATTTCCCACAACATACTTTTGCACTATCGGTAAGTTTATCAATTGTTGTACATTACCATGCACTCATGGTCACTTGCTTTCTAGGTAAGATTCCTGATTGGAATGGGGTTAGTGTTCATCTCAGGCCATTACAGTGGAAAACGTTTGACAATTTAAGCTAGTCCAGGATAGTCTATGAAGAGTACTGTCCAATTGCCCAAACAGGGTATCACATTTCTGCAAACACATACTTTTGCCCTTGAAAATGTTGTCGTCCATGAATATCATGCAGGAATGTTTTCAACTTCTATCTGACTGCTCCAGTTACAATAATTTGTCACACACTAGGTTTGTGTGACTGAGAGTAGTTTTGGGTCGGCAGACTTTAACTGTTGAAGTTGGATAGCGCATCATAACGCTCAGCGGATATACTGTCTTATTATCCACGATGACCTTTGTTACACACAGTTGACAGCCCATTTGTTTGAAACCTCTAGCATCTTTCAGTTAAGACTGACACATTGGCAACACCAAGTTGTAAAAGTTTTCAAATGGACATATCAAGTTGCTATGATGAATTTAAATAATTTGTACTCTGGATGTATTGACTCACTGTTATATTCCAGAGAGGTTCCATTTGTGAAAATTGTGCTTCTGTGTGAACATCTCTATCAAATCATTCAGATGAGCAGATCATCCTGAGACATCACAGAATTCAAATAACTGATATATCTCATTTAACTCAGTCATCTTAGTGTCATACCCGTTAAAAGGTAGCAATTTAAGTTTATTTTAATATATGTTATGGGACTATTGCAGACTATGCCACGTTACTGTATATGTGGGGTACTATTGTAAATTGTTGCCTTTTACAGTTACGTATTTTATTATTCTACAGATATCTTCTCTATGGATAACCAGCAACACTGTACAAAACGTGATGTGTTGCTGGCAGCCTCACATAAAAATGTTGCGGCTGTTAAGATAAATTAACTATTTAATTAAAATGCTAATGGTTTGTTCGTCGATCGGTTAAGTAACCTTTCCACAGTTCATACATTCTAGAGTGTATTTTTATTTTACTGATTGTTTACCGAACGGCTACATATCTAATGGCCTTGCTATAAAAATAAACGAAATTGTATCAAAAGGTTTGCCCAAGCTTATTTATCCTATAGCTCGAGAATTGTCAAATACATGTTTACCCACTTCATTGTGAAACTGGAAATACCGCACTAGCAAATCCGCCGCTTTCCCAGTCACCTGTCTGCGTTCGCAGGCGGTGACAGGTGATGTCCGCAGAAGGTCGCAACTGTTCTCACACCCAGCCCCCGAGATGCGTCACCGCGAGTGTTCCGTGTGGTGTAAAATTTCACTTCCTGGGTTCTACACAGGTAGTGACACACCTGAGAAACAAAAAAGGGTTAAATTGTTTGTGTCGTCTTATTCTCGGGAGGAACCACCCAGACGAAGGTTGAATGAGTCAGTCTTGACTGAAACTCGACAGTGAGGTTTTTTTTCTTTCCAACATAGGGGGAAGTAAGTAAAACGGAGGTTTATAAAATTTCACCCGGTCTACATGCGTATTTATTCTGGACTGGTCAAGAAGGGGGTTGCTCGAGATAAGCCGTAACTTGAGTGGAGACTCCATCTCGAGCAGTAGGGTAAGTGTGGCCTTATTATAAAAAAAACTGAAGTATTACTTGATTTTCATATATATTGTGAAAAACGTAAAATAACCGAATACAAAACGTTTTACTCTTTCTGTTTAGATACCAACTAATTTAAACAAATTAGGCAGCCCAATATGTGTAATGGTCAATGTGTAGATCATTCCAAAGTAATAAGCTACAGTAAACCTGTGAGACAGGTAATAATCTTATCATTCCTACTTGGTTATTTTACAGCACACCAGGAAAAAAACCAATTAAGCCCAAAGCCCTTTTACCTTTCTTGAAGATGACTTCATTACATGTTGGATTGTTCCTATGCACTTCACTGCTCTTGCAAATACTGCACTCGGCCAGAGTAGAGGCACAGACGTATGGAGAAGAATGCTTAATAAACTTCACCACGGGGAGGCCCGGCTTCGTTCTGGATACAGACGACTCGGTAAAAGAGGGAGCAACTTTTCTGTCCTCTCCCGAAGTGCAACGAACAAAAGAATGTGTGAGGGCCTGCTGCAAAAACCCGAAGTGCAACTTGGCATTGATGGAAAACGCGGAGGAGGAGGGCTTGATCAAGCATTGCTTTCTGTTCGATTGCCTGTACAAGCAGACTTATGTGTGCAGGTTTGCTAAAAAACAAGGATTCAGCAATTATATATCGAAATCCGTCAACAAGGAATTCGTGGAGGGACCCCAAAACAATCCCGGTAAGCCCCAAACCGTTCACTTCCTATTTAACAGGGTCGCATGTTTGATCTGTACTCCTTTAAGTTGGAGTACGTAGGAGTAGCTGAACATCTTCCAGTAGTTTGCTACTTTTAACCCTTCAGCTTCTACAGTAGAAGTTTAAAACAGAAGTGTTTCCGCTTTATTCCAACACAATACATGACCTACATTTTATACAGCGTTAGCTTCACTGTCAAAAACCTGACAACATTTGATATCGTTAACCAAGGACCAGGGGCTAAACATTGAGAGGTTAATGTGTAGCTTATCTGACAAGTGTTGAAGAGAGTTCTTGATGCAAATGAATGCTGGTGGGGGGGCTTGGAAATGTAAAGGTCAGTTTTGGATGTCACAGAATTGAAGATACGGTCCCAGTGCCATTTAGAACTGTGTTCCAGAATTACATTTTCGAGTAGTAATGGGAATAGGAACGATGTGTTGTAATATTGTGTGGAACCCCTCTAAAAATGAATCTTTAATACATGGTCTGATTTGCTACTCATTTGAAATCTTTCAACATTTTCAAGTTTTGTATGGACTTTCATGCAACTAGCAAACATTTTTACACCAAATACATTAGCTGAAATAATGGCTAACATTATATGGCATTAGAAAGATTTCAAACTAACATAGCCAAGGAGCTGTTCCCCTTCACATTTTATTCTTCTGTTTATAGGTTACATCAGAGTTTTTTAGTTTTAGTTTAGTTTCCAAGCCCAACATTAGGTCTTTGGATTCCGGCTTCACTATTAGACCTAGAAGTTCACCAGAAACAGGAGTCCTTCACTTCAAAAGTACAATTGTTTGCATTATGCCAGTATGTCATTTTGAGCATCAAAGTACATCTAAAGTGTAATAATACTGAAGTTATGGTGACTGGATCATTGTACCAGCTATAGGGCTGTTCAGTTAAGAGTTCTGATGGTGCTTAAATCAGTCCACTTGGACCATCTTTAATCCAAGTATTATATTGGAAACTCACCACAATGTTGTTAAGGTCCTCTTTCATCTTTATAACATTGCTTGTCTCTTCCAATCTTCTACAGAGGAGCTTATGGATGCATTTGTCATTTCTAGGCTTGAGTATTGTAATGTAGTGCTTGATGCTGTATCCAAACATGTCTTAAACAAATTTGCAGTATGTTCAGAACTCCCCTTCTTATATCCTGTCTCAACCAAAACTTTGTGAATATTTCTTTCTTATTTCAAGTTCATTGTATTAACTACATGTGGGGAATGAAAAGCAGTATATAAAAGCAAGGAATTTGTACTATTCACACATAAAATTCACAATATAACTACTCACATTTAAGGACTGGAATCTTTTGGGTCCAATATCAATGAATTTACGTTGCGAAATTGCTGTTTTTATTTCTTATAGTTTTGAATGTTTGAAATTTATTATTGAACCATATGCACATAGATGGAGTACAGTTTATGCCCGTTTTTGTCTGTTCTGTTGTTGTTAACAAAATCTACATTTATTTATTGGAGAGCATTTACAAGACTATAGATTTTGTTTTAGTGATCTGTTTCATTCTTATAAATTAAAGATTTCATTGTTATTGAAGAATATTCTGTCTGCTGTTTTCAGCTCTATGTGATCAGTCTTAAGTTCTGAATTCAGTACGTTGTTTTGTTCTATATCTAACCAGAGTACAGTGCTCTCTTAGAGCATGTTGGATGAATTTCATTTTTTAAGTTTGAGGTTTTATTTTTAAAACATCTTTATTTTGTAAGGAAATAAATATTCCAAAGATCATAACCAGTTCTTAAGATTTATTTTGCTGTGGAGTGTTAATGAGGAATTACAGTCTCACCTGGATCTTCATTCTCATCAAATGTTTCTTTGACATTACAGTATGTGAATAACCACATCTTTTGATTCAAAATAACATGAAACAATTCTTCTGTCTGAAGCCCAAATATACAGCCTAAATGGGAATAACATAAAAGGCTTAGTTTCTAAATGTAAAGGCAAACATTTAGTTTTGCTCTTATGCAGGTAGAGTGAGAAGTCTGTAACTCTCAGAATAGTCTGTGTAATAAAAGTATGCATGGTCCAAAGGGTTGTGGTCTAGGGACAGCACTCTTTCCAGGCTGACAAGACACTTTCGCTTTTGATGGTTGTGTTGGAAATGATAAAGCTGTTGATAACATTGTATTCACTGCATTACCTTTAAAATGTGAAATGTATTTTCACTGTGTGCAGTTGATTTACAGAGTTGAGTACATGAACTTTAAAAATAGTGCAACATATCACATGTCCTTTTCATGGAGGAGTATGAAATTTGAATAAATCCAAAGTGTTCTAACATTTCTTTTACTTCCTCCTATCCTGACATAGTAATCCATATTTCCTGAATTAGTTCCTAACTAAAAGGAAGATTTATTCAAATAGGTTTATCAAAGACAAGAACGTAGTGGAAGTATCTAGTACAGTATTTAAACTGAACACATCTTTAAATTGTAATGATTTTTGTAGGAGAGAAAGTAGCATAGAAAGTCTATTTAAGTGTTTTTTGTAGGTTAAATTTGCCTATCAATGTAAACCATTTCAGTGAAAAGCTGATTTTGGCAACATAAAGGTTAAATGAATATGTTAAGCATTTTTCCAAAATACCTGTGTTTATCTGTGTATTTAAGATGAATTTCTTCAGATCTGTTTTTCATTTCAAATTCTGTCACTTGATTGAGCCAATTACTGGCCAAGTTAGCCAAGCTTAATTGGATGTTTAGTTAGTGATTGAAGATGCCAGTGAAACCTCTAGAGTGCATTTCATAATTTGAGGATAAATCTTCTATGGATAAATCTTGAAAGTCATGGCATAAATGTCACATGATGCATTCAAGCTGTAAGCTGCTTATTAACCTCCATAACCCAGGTGTCTACTACTAGCTAGGACAAAAATATGCTACCACTTTGGCATAAATGTGACAGTTATATTACAAACAAACCACAGGCATGCTTCTCCCTTCATTTTGCATCACAGATACCTGATCAGTGATTTTATTTGGTGATGGCTGAGTTTTTCATTTGTGTTTACCCTCTGGTCTTCATTTATGTTGCAGTCTGGCAGTTTATTTGATGCCAGATTGATACAGAAAGTTTCAAGTGATGCATTGTGTTTTAGGGTTGGTCAATATTATGATAGATCTTGATGTTTCCTGATCATATTAAAAGTATTGATTTTGACATGTTGAAAAGCATCTTTTCAAATAGAATTTTTAAAATATTATACTGTATTATGGTATATTATTATACTATACCCCGTAAAAAGTAAAATAAAAATAATCTGTACAGAATTCAGATGCTGAATAGGCGCGGAGCGGTGGCTCTGTGGTTAAGGATCTGCGCCTGTGACCGGAAGGTTGCTTCAAATCCCGCGGCCGGCAGAGGAATCCTACTCCGTTGGGCCCCTGAGCAAGGCCCTTAACCCTAACTGCTCCAGGGGTGCTGTACAATGGCAGACCCTGCGCTCTGACCCCAAGCTTCTCTCCCTGTCTCTGTGTCTGTGTCTCCATAGAGAAAAGCTGGGGTATGCGAAAAGACGCATTCCTAATGCAAAAAATTGTGTAGGGCTAATAAAGAAACATTATCATAAATATTTATTATCATTAAAACCTCTCTAGAGATAAGTCAGGTCAACTGTTTGATGCAGTCGGCTCTGATTGGTGTCAGTGAGCATGTCACAGAGCATGTCACAGAAGTACAGCACAATATGACTTCCAGGACAGAATACCACAACACTGTCCTGTATTTGCAATCTCTTTGCTTTAAAGAATGGCCACACACTTTCCTAGCTTGTATTCCAAAATAATTATTTGTATTAATAATTGCCCATGTGCTTTATATATCATTTTTCTGTTGAGCTAAGTCTATATCCTAACCAAAAGAGCCATCATAAAAGCAGTGTTTGACTGGAAGCTCGACTGAAATTGAACAAAGTAGATGCATTATGTCTTAACATAATGCCAGCCTTTAGTTTGGAATGGTTTTTCTTCAGATTGTACTGTCCTCTTTAGAACACCACTCACAGCCTGTCCCAGACATGGTGGAACTGTAGAACTGTCATATTTATTGCTTTCTTTTGCAGTACATAGCCTTATATGATAGTTTATTTGCACTGGTAACATTGTCATAATTTACAGTGTTATAGCTTCTTTAAGATGAAGCTTCCTTGCATCATTGATCTAAGTAAGAAAAAATGCATGACAAAAGAGAATGTTTCTTAATGTCGGCTTAGCTAGTAACTCCTGTGAAGCACGTGATCCGTCATGCCCCATTTTACAGGGAAAGCTCTAAAACCTGCTGGATTGGTGAATCCCTGTACAAGCCTATGCATGTTAGGTGTTCATTAGGCAGCCATGTCTGCTAATTACATCATGTTTATCCCCCTCCTGTCAGTATAGAGTAAACTAAACTTTTAAATCTGGAAAGGTCAGTTTGAACTCAAGTAGTGCCCCATATCTTATTTATTATTTTCTTTTCTTTTTTTTGCTATTCAGTCATTTTAAATTGTTGATGAAAATAATGTTTTAAGGAACCACACCAAAGTATTTATTCTTGACGGTATTATTGAGGTTAAGGGCTATGCTGCAAATCAAGATCTTCCACAGAAGACCTATCTAAACTGGGATATTCATTTGAAATATTTAAGCTTTCGTTAATGACCAGTGTGTCTCCAGTCTCTAGAATCTACTCTGACAGAGTCAGTGACTTTTTGTTGTATCTCAACTTTAAATACTGTATGAAGATCTAGCTTTATATATGTTTTTTGTTTTGAAACCTATTCCGTTGTCTGTCACCTTCACAGCCTGTGGTGTAGAGAGGAGGGTGTCTGGCTTTTCCTTTCCTAGGTATCCAATTTTTAGAAATATAAAATACGGTCTTAAGACCATTACAATGAACTTGTTTACCCCATTTTGTAATGTACACACATAGGAGAGCTTTAAAGACTTTATGACTTCTTTATTTTTGTAATCACAGGGTTTTCATTTTTCACAAATTGAGTGGTACTGTATATTTTGGAAACAGGTCTGTATAGTAAGGGGAGGGAAAGTTTAAAAAAATATTTGTTAAAGTAATTTTCTTTGTGAGTTAAAAGTCTCTGTACAAATACATTTTCCCCCCACATCACAAAAGATGGATACGCATATATACAGTATAATTTACTGAGTTTGTGATCTTTGTTTTTAACCTGAATATTACATTTAACCACATAGTATGCTTGTCACATCAATTATTCATGTTCAAAATCAACATTACTTGCCCTGGGTGGTTAAATTTTAAGAAGTGTTCACAATTGAAATTGCGTATATTGTCCAAAAATATTTTTACAAAACAGTGATATTTTAAATATTTAACTGATAATTTTCAGATGGGTTTCTATTTAAAATAAGCAAGCTGCTTTTTTTTTACATTTGTTTTCTAATCAAACCTTTATTTGGTTTTGTTTTAGATGTTGATGACAAACCTCCAATTGCCAATGCTGGCCAGGACAAAGTGGTCCAGCCCCACGAGACAGTGATTCTGAATGGTCTTGAAAGTACTGATGACCACAAGATTGTCCACTACCAGTGGAAAATGATCAAGGGAAACCCATCAGCCAAACTGCAGGTGGATGAATTTTGAGAAAACTCACTGTGTGGCGTGGCCTAATCACACAATTTAGTGAATTAAATCCTGTTTAGCTAAGCAAATAATGTCTTACATTATAACCAACATTGATTACATTTGAATTATTTATATCCTTATAAGTATCCTTATGTTTCTTTACCTTCATCCTCAACAAAGTTCTATTAAAATTACATTACAGTATTAACCTTCTGTAGGGTTCTAATACATTTATTTTCTCTGAGATAAATATCAGGTATGGGTTTTCTGATATAATACTGTTTTCTATAAGGATAGATATACTACTGATATTTAGTTCAGGTGGGTAACTACGTCAGCATGCGTAGACTGCAAAGGAACAAGTAATAGGTTTATTCCATGCTGAAAAAAGAAAACACAACATTTTGGCCATGGAGCCTTTTTCAGGTGTCACCACGGCCGAAACGTTGTGTTTTCTTTCTTCTTTTTTCAGCATGGATTAAACCTATTACTTGTTCCTACTGATATTTACATCTGTTACACTTTGAGAGTGCTAGGAGATTTGATTGAGAACCATACACTATTTAAGAAATTTAGCTAAGCTGGACTCAATTAATTCTTGTTATGCATCCTAGAAAACTGATTTGGATGACCAAGCTCAGGTGACTGGTCTCGTACCTGGGATGTACGTCTTTCAGCTCTCAGTGATGGATGAAGCTGGGCAGTCTGACTCCGCCCAAGTGAACATTCTTGTGCTCACACCAGAACAATCAGAAAGTGAGTATTGTACAACCACCATAGTTTGGGTTTGGGGTTAACCAGATGAAAGTGTCATTCATTCTGGGGTTGCTTGTTTATTCATACCAGGCCTAGAGTTGATCACCACTGAGAGAGACTGAAGTTTTTCAATAATGTTTGTGTTCTTCATCTAAGTTTGAATTTAATCCCCCCCATTGGTTTGCCTTGTGCAATTCTGTTTGAGGTTTGATCTTTATGAGGATCAGTTTGATTGCTTATACTGTGTATTACCTACTGTAAGCCTGTATAATAATTACCATGTGTCTTTATATAAGTGCATAAAAATATAACAATTTAAGTTGAGAAGACACTTTTCTTTCCCCACAGTTTTTGACAGTTCTAATTTAGGTTGTTTAATATGACTTGCTAGTTTTAGGTAACAGTATTTTATTCCAGTTTTATAATATTAATTATATTGTTGTTCTCAAATATATTTTACACAAATATATAGTGGGGAAAAATGTTTTTCACATTTCACAAGTAGTAATATCTAATTTTGCAATGAAAGTTTTAATGCATTTTAAATGCAGAATATGTACTACTGTACATATTCCTGTTTAATGCATTATTAAAATCAGATTTTTCATTCCTGCTAAGGAGTCCTTTTGTTGTCTATTGCCCAGACATCACATAGATAAGCTTTACTGTAATTATTGGTATTATCCTGAAATATTTTTGTTTTGGATGGCATGGCTTTACATTTCAGAACAATTCTAACAGTGCAAGAAAGCTGCATGTGATAGGGGGCCATTTGTACATCATGCATGTTTGGTTGCTAGTAGCTTATCGACTTGAGGAGCTCATCCAGACCTTTTATTGAAAGTACCCAGGTACCAATCAATAATCAATTTTAATACCATGGCTTAGCAGCGTGTTTTTAATCCTAAATGATTTTTTGGACCTTCCGGTTGTACTCTTATTTTCATGTTTTGCAGCTATGCATAATATTGTATTGTTCTGTTGATTTAAGATGAACTTTTATCAGCCCTGTACTCGGCAGGTATAGGAAAAGCTATTGTCTACATTGTGTATAATATTGAAAAAAACTTGCAGACAAAAGCAGTCTGTTGAAAGAGCTCAAGAATACATTTATAACTTAGACTACTTCAAATCCCCCACATGTAGATACTTGATGAAATGGCATTTGTTTTTTTATTTTTTTGCAATAACTAGCATTATTCTTGACCTTCAAAATCTTTACACTTATTTAAAATCAATTTAATCTGAAAAATGAAATAAAACATTTATCATTCTAGTGTATCAGAACTATCTCAGTTATTAGAGAATCTCTATTAATAAAAAAGTCATTTCATTATGCATATGAATTTAATTATTGGCATAGAAAGGGGTATGTAAAATGTTAAAAGCAAAAACTGTATTCTGTCTTGCTTGTATTTTTGTCTCTTATAAATATATAGCCAACCATTTATGAGCTCAATTTTTTAAAATCAATTTATAGTTTTAATCTGTTTCATTCTAAGAAAAAAAATTATCTGTTATATTTATAAGGATGTTTTCTGTTATTCATAAAAGTTAATCTTAGAGATATAGAGCTTCTCCATGTCTGAATGACTCCCTTAGGGCAGGGCTGTCCAAAAGTATTGATGGGAATTTAAATTTCTGGTTCCTTGTTTTGTGGACTAGAAGTAAGAAGTCTCTTACTGTCCCTTTTTTCCACATTTGTTTTGTAATACTCCAGCAGTCACCTTGCCTTCGGGATAGATAGGGGTCTGCATTAGTCTCTACAGGTTCAATCTAGAGAGATACAGTAGATGACTAAATGCTTACAGTGGGAAAGAGAAACCCCATAATCACAGATGCAGTCTACTAAAACAAGATAGTGCTGCACATATTCAACTCTCTTCCACCAAAGATTTCCAAAGTGCTCATTTAGAATCAGGTCAGATGGTTTTAGTCCAGGACTGTCTTTTCTTTGGTCATAGTTCTGTGGTGTCTGAAGAAAATCATTTTAACTCCGCTATTAATATGCTAAACCAGTTAATTACTGGATTGGATTGGACCGATGCAACAACTTCTTCCAGCTTTACAGGCGCTGGTGCTTCAAAAAGAGTTGGGGAAAACTTAGACACTGTAATCCTCAACAAGCAGGACAGCCTATCTTTTCTAGTTTGAGAGTTATTGAGGATGTATTGTAAATGTGACTTTTTACATTTGGACTTTATACATTTCCTTCATAATACAACAACAGTTTGGCTCCACCAGCTCTTTCAGTCTGTATTGGCTGCAGTTGGTAATTTTTTATGATGTCATTTTTTGTTTCTTGAGTGTATACATTGAGATATCTTTGAAAATACCAGCTAGTTAGGAATTTCCACCATAACAAGGCAGAAACATTTAAAATACATTTCTAATAAGACATTGTTATGAAAAAAAATGCCTTAGGGATTTTGAAGTAGAAGAGTTGTTCTTCTTTGATCTTGTTCTACGAGACTGGTTCTGCTTTTCAAAGTTTAATCTGAACACATTATTTGACTTTTAAAGTCAGCAAAACTTTTCTAACAAAAAGTCTATAGTAATATGAAGAAAATGTTAAAAATATTTACTGTTACAATACTAAAGACTATAGCTGTAAAGTCTTTTGATTAAATTGTTGCATGTCCTGTCCTGCATTTAAACAAAACAGTCTGAGAATTTCGACATATTTATTTATAGTGATGCAGTTCCTTATAAATGCATAACTCCCTTATTATTATTGTTTTGCATTCTTTCTTTCAGATTTTTCTAGAATCTGTGTTCTGAAACTGTTCCAACAAGGATTTTAGTTCAAATCAATTAATTGATTGAATTTGAGTCATTGCTGGGATTTATTAAGATCGAGGCTAATGGATTTTGGCCAGGCTGAGAAACCATTCAATACTGTCATAAAATGGAGTAAACTAAAATGGAGTAATTGTCAACTGCTCAGATCACTAATGTAGAATTCCAGGAATTAAGTTGTTGGTAAAATACATTATTGGATAGAAAACCATAAATAAATTATTATATCTTGAAATAAAAATGACAGATAAAGGTATTGTAATTCTACAGTATTGCTATCAAAGTATATTAGATTAAAATAGATTGGAATGAGGTGAATAAAGCAGTTTTATATAATAGTAGCAAGGCTTGTGTTTTTGTTTTAGAAGTGAATGTTGAACTTTGATCAAAGTTCTAATTTGTAGAAAGAGATGTGCCACATTGCAATATATATTATAAAAGTATTTAATTCGAGCCATATTCTGTTGGATTATTCTGCTTGTTTACATGAAACGAAAAATGAGACTATACATTCCCTGTCATTAGAGCATTTTGTGACAGAATGTGATGTTCTCTAGGTCAGACATTCATTTAAACATCATTCTTCCTCCATTTGCTAAGAGAGACAAGTCTCCTAGTTTGTATTTACTGGAAATTTCTAATGTATACTGTAATTCTACTGTTTGACTGAAAAGCAATATGCACCAACCTTGCTCACAAGGTTGTCTTCCATTGTATTTAAAATGCACCTTCAATCAATAGCTAAAGATAAATTTGTTTGATTAAACCATTAGTCACTCATAAGGATATATACCGTTTTTCTGAACTGTGATATTGTCTTCTGTGTGTTAAGCTGTTTTCTGCAACACTTTTGAACCCAATTAAGGGAAAAACTAGGGACATTTTTAGGTTCAGAGGCTTTAAGCAATTTAACATACTTTTGAAATACAGCTAACAGCAATTTTAACAAAGTTAGTTATAGTTAAGGCTTTGTTTTACTACAAATTTCAGTAAAACTTGATGTTCTGACGTGTATAATTAACAACAAAGGTGGATAGAAATTAGTCTTAGTCTTCATGATTTTAACCTGTTTTGTGAAACAAAAAATAAACTAAAATATTTGCTTTGCTGAGCACTAAAGAAATAACATTGAGAGATGCTTGCTGTTTGAGAGATGCTTACTGTGTGTTTGGCACAAAGCATACAATACTCTGCATTTATATTAGTCAAAAATATCATATGCCAGTTCAATTTAATAATTGTCTCTTTCTGTCTTGGACAGATAAGTTCTTTTCGCTTTGTATGCAAGAGTCATTGATAAGCGTTTTTCAATTTAGAATCTGACTTTACAATCTACTTAATGGGTGAAAAGTTTAAAGAATGACACTTCTTTTCAACGAAGTGACCTTCTTTCTAGAAATTGGTACTATTAAAAACAGGGGAGAAAAAAATATATTTAGGTATTCTAGCCCTGTTCTGCTTAGGAATTCTTGCTATATCTATATGCTTGGACTTTTGTCAGTTAAAACAACTCCTTGGGTGTATTATCAAATAGCTTGAATGTTTAGCACTAATTCCATTGTCGGTGCTACTGTGTGCTTTTTTTTTTTGCTTTTGTTGTTCACCTTCTTATACCGTTCCTGAACTAACGTTAATTCAGCCATGTCCTTTTTTAATGTCATGGGTAGTTATTACCAAGTCACTGCCTGAATTCTCCCTTTTGTCTATAATGGTGAGGGTTTTATCTTGTAGTTTAGCTATAACCTTCTTAAAACCCTAATGGAAAAATGTATGGGTTTAAATGCAAATAAGGTCTAATTTGCATGTCTCAGTGTTCACCCACTTGTACTTTGTATTTTGAATTCCACTTCTAAGAAACAAGACTAACATTTAAACAGTTTACAGACTACATGTCATGTTAGCTAAGGCTTTATTAAAAGCGAAAGAAAACAAAGCAGGAAATTAAAGGTAAAGTATCAGCCATTTTTACCAGTATGAAAATATCAGATCTTCTGTAACATGAAAGCAGCTTTGACCAGTATGTTTGCCTTGTAAAAAACGTGGAAATAGTTTGCTGGCATCTTGAAATCCCCCTGTATGAACAGGTGTAAGTCATGTTCTATATTTGAGTGTTGTTCTGTAACTATTCACTCATTCGTTAAAAGTAATTTTGCCCTTTTAAATTGTTTGCGCCCATTTGATGAGCCATGAGGGCGGAGTGGTGGCTCTGTGGCTAAGGATCTGTGCCTGTGACTGGAAGGTTGCCATTTCAAATCCTGCAGCTAGCAGAGGAATCCTACTCTGTTGGGCCCCTAAGCAAGGCCCTTAACCCCAACTGCTCAGGGGCGCTGTACAATGGCTAACCCTGCGCTCTGACCCCAAGCTTCTCTTCCTGTCTGTGTGTCTGTGTCTCATGGAGAGCAAGCTGGGGTACGAAAAAGATTAATTCCTAATGCAAGAAATTGTATAGGGCTAATAAAGCAACATTATTATTATTATTATTATTATTATTATTATTATTATAACGCCCAGCTTTGCACCAGTATTAACATTTTGTGGCGTTAGTTTTAAATAAGCTTGGAGCTTTTTATCAACTGATTTTTTTTTAATGAAAGTTTGGGAAGGACAGCAGGACCCAAGTTCTTCACAACTCTTTACTGCTCTTATTCATAATCTTCCACATCACAGTAATCTATCAATACCAGAGTAAGACAACTTTCTTGTGATCCTCTGTCCACCCCTCCTCCCATCGTAACCTTCATAGCTCCCCCTTGGTTATCTCCTCACTCTGCCCATGGATCCTAACTTCCTTGTTCTATGGCCGGGGGTTGACCCTCAGTCAAGCAGGTTATGCCAAAACTATGTCTCAATAAACATTCCTGAATACATTTTCCTGTTGAGTAGTATTCCTGATTTAATATCAGTTAATATTCATTAACCCCAAATCTACAGGGGGTGCATTGGGTGTGGTTGTATTTAAATACTTTGATTTCCTTGGTAGTTTAATTGGAGGCTGGTTTCTAAAGAAATTCTAACAAGCCCAGAATCAAATACAGGATGGAGCATTCGGTCCATTCCAAACTCAGTGTATGTTGAAACAGGAAGTGACTTACAAAACTCTCCACCTAGTCCTAAGGAACTGGTTTTTCTGGTTTCAGGGCTGAGTCACTGAGTAATAGTGCGGGGCTCTCAGTTTCAGAGGTGGCAGCATTTTTTGTTAGGTGTAGCAAAACATTTCCAACATAAAATCTGCAACTCACTGGAAACTAAACCTAAAAATTCCCCCAACTTAATTGAAATTTTAAATGGATTTTAAGGAAATATAACCTTGATCAGTACCCATTTCAGATTAACATTTTTGTTTAATAAAACAAAAGATAGGGTTGGGTTAGGTTACGTGGATGCTTTTGATCAAAACTTTCATTGCAGTTTTCATTTTACATATTCTTTTTAAATATATTTTTTCATGATCCCCAAATTGTACATGTTTTCGTAGCTTATTAAAAATGCTTTGAGGGCATTTGGAATACTAAGGTCAAGGTTTATCTTTTAGCAACGCAAATGGCCTAAAAGTTATGATACAAAATATACTTTACACTTAATCAAAAGTTTATATTTTAGATCGGATCCTATCCAAAAATGTAAAATCTTGGATGAACCTGGACTTGGCTTGGTTTTAAATAAAAAGTCGATCAGATTCTTTGATTCTTGTTCAAGGTTTGATATTGGTGGCTTCCTTCTAGATAGATAGATACTTTATTGATCCCGTGAGGGAAATTACAGTGCAACAGCAGCTTTACACAGACAACACAGTCACAGTGTAACGAATGATACAACAATAATAATAATAATAATACTACAATACATACAATACAGTGAGGGGTGCACTAAAAGAGTTACTCACAGTCCAGGACACACAAAGAACAAACTAGAACAGAAAAGTACGCAGAAAAATCGTATCACACATGAATATAAGTACAGATGTAAATATAGATATAAATATACCCAATCTACCCAATATGAATGCGTTTTCACTGTCTGTGTTGTATTGTTTTACTTCTCTTCAAAACCTTATGCTTTGAAAAAAGATTTTTTTTGCTTTTTCACTGTGCCATGAGATTTATTTTTTTAATAATAGGAATAAATAATTCCTCTACAAATCCCACCAAACAAAAATGTGATGAATGTCACATATTGGTTGGCATTCGTCCTGAAGTAGGCTTGTATATGTTGAAACGATGTTAATAAATAATTCTAGAGTAGAGGGAGTGTATACCAAGCTACTTTCTCTTTGGGATTAGTTTCTATTTCACCTTCTTGATAAGTTGTTTAGTATTAATGTTATACTTGAGTATAAAATCAAGGTAAACCTGTTTTTTTTTTCTACTGGCAGAAATGCTGCAACTTTTTCTGTGCTTCCATTTCTTAAATGAACTGTGAAGTGTTAAACAACATAGATATCATAAATATCATATTAATGACTTTTGGCATGATGCATGTTTTAGGAAATGAATAAACAGTACAGAAATAATGGATATAAAATATAACAGAAGAATTGAACGTAGTAGGATTAAAAAGGGCCAGAAGTGGCATGTACATAGAAAATTATCATACTGTGTTTGCACACTTGTATGTGTAATTTTAATTTCTTATTTGCATTAGATAAAAGGACAAACATTCAAAAGTGAGATTAATGTATTCTTTTACTTGTTAAAGCTTGATGATAAGGACTATATTCATAGTGCTGGTATCTTAATTATCACAGTAAAAATACTTTAACTAAACATTTGTATTTATTTTGGCCAATGTTCTCTGTGGTGGTTATAATGAGATGCTTGGTCCTGACCATGTTTAGTCAGGACTAAAATAAAATGGCTGACAAGTGAAAGGTGTCTAAAAATAATAGAAAACCATAAATACCTAGGTGTTTTTAGTTTTAATTTTCATATTGGACGTGTAGAAGACTATACGCAAGCAAAGTGATATTTGCGTTTTGCATGTTGTCCTGCATAACTCTGCTGCATGTGTGCTGAACTTGCAGCCCTTGAATTCTTTGGAATTTGTCATTGAAGGACCTTATACAGGCACCCCCTAATTATGTAACACTCGACGTGAAAATTAGGCTTTATATAACACTACCATATATTATTTCTACTAAGTTATGTAATTATTAAAGGTGTCAGGAACAATGCTATTTGTCACGAAATAGTCCTATAAAATATCTGTTAGATTCACAAAACATTTGCTTGAACTCCTTCTTAGCCTGGATGGGATATTAATAATTTCAGGACTGATTGTTTGAAGAGTGTGTACGCCACATTTATTACCCAGTAATTATGCCATGTTCCAACATTGTGAAAACACATGTGCCCCATTTTTCCTCACCCGGATAATGTGGCATTTTTGTGAAGCTGATTAATGCTGAAAATTTAAGTTAGAAGTTAAGAGTTAAGTTAAGAAAACTACTCAAGTATGGCAAATTCCATTCTCACAGAACAGGAATAAGAGACCTGAAGGGATTTGGAAGTAACTCATGGCTGACAGTGCTTAAGATGAGTTGCAATTCATAATATGTGGCATTCATTTGAAATCAGCAATAATTGATATCTCTGGTTTGAAAAATACATAGGCCTTGTGCATTATTTTGTGCTGGTTTATATTTCTTACCATGAACACTTCAGAAACAAGAAGAGCTTTAATGTGCTACAGGATTAGCTTTCAATTTCGTTTTCTACTTTAAATTTGTTTCTTCCCTAGATCACTGTCTTGCGCCAATGAAAATTGGCCCATGTCGGGGCTCGTTTCCTCGCTGGTACTACAATGCTGCTAACCAGAAGTGTAAAGATTTCCTTTTTGGGGGATGCAAGGAAAACCGCAACAATTACTTGACAGAGCAGGATTGCTTAAATGCTTGCGATGGGGTGAAAGGTAAATGTCATTCAGTAACTGCCCGAAGTGTGTACTTGACACACTAATATCCAATATCCAAGAAAGACAGATATTAGGACAGCACAGTCTAATATCCAATTAGGAAATGCTTAATCTGCTATTTGCCAGCAGCTACTGTATATCACCCTGCAACTCACAACTGATAACCCACTAAAGCTAAGAAGGCCAGGATGCGAGAACCCCTGGGAAAGTTAAGGTTGTTGCTGGAAGAGTGGGGTCAACATGGGGAGCTCACCCTGCAGTCTGTGTGGGTCCTAATGCACCTGTATAGTGATAGGGGCACTATACTGTAAAAAAGGCACCATCTGATTAAACTAAATTTTTCATTAAAAATCCCAGGGTGCTTCTCGAAGAGAGTAGGGGTATTAACCCAGGTGTCCTGGCCAAATTTTCCCCTGGTCTTTACAAATCTTGGCCTATGAAGTGGCTTCATCACTCTGTTCTCCTCCCCTCTGATAGCTGATATATTTTTGTTTTGTTTTTTAGTTACAACTGATTCCCCAGTGGTGCCTGGAGGTAGAGGATTTTTGCATCCTACTGGTAAGTGTTTAAGCAAGTCCTCCACAAACCTACATTGGCATGTTGTGCTGTGGCATGAACTACATGACCACTGATGGATTTCAATATAATAAAAATTAAATTGCTCATGGCTTTAAAATTAAAGTGAATATGGTTTGTTTCCTGTTATCAGACATTGTTTAATATACTTTGCATGTCTGCTGTGGGACGGAAAATGTGTCACATCACACTCTTTTTAAAAGTAATGCTCCAAACCTATTTTTTGGAATGATAAATGTAATGAGATTAGGGGTGAAGAGCACTGGCTTCACACCACCATTACTGCTCAGTCCTCTTTGAGTTCTTGAAGATGCTTTCCCAAAATATAGGTGAATCAGTCATAGTAGCATATGATAAAGTATGTGTAGTATTATATACTAATATATTTATCAAGTAAGCATAGAGATTTTGGTGAAAATCTGAACATTTCTCACATTTTGACCACTCTCCGTCTTTGAAAGCATTAACTTGTAAAATCATGTCTCATTTTTTGGTTAAATTGCAAAAGAATGGTTGAGAGTTATAGACACTCTTTCTGAAACAGCTAACATTTGATATATACACATATAAAATGAATTAGATGTTATGTACAAGGCAAAAGGTATTTCCTCATGTCCTGTCTCTTATAGACTGTACTGTTCCATGCTCAACATCCCAGTTCCACTGTGCTAATGGCTGTTGTATTAATGGTGACTTGGAGTGCGACCAAATTGAGCAGTGCAGCGATGGATCAGATGAGGCTTCTTGCCAGTCCCGTAAGTTACAAACGTATTTCAAAATTGGAATTCTCACTACTGGTTTTACCAGTGAATATCTGCATTTAATAATACAGTATAGTTTCCTTCTGAGGGAAAAACGTGGCATTTAAAAATGGTTATCCGCTCAGTTTTCCAATTTGATGTATTTATTTAAAACCTTTTGTCTTGTTAAATGTTTTAAATTGATCCTCCCAGAAAGGTTGGAAGTCCTTGTCCTAGGTATGAACAAACATACTTTGTTAATTTTAGAAAACACATAATAAATATATTTTGATGAAGGTGAGATAAGCCAAAATGCAGGAATGTTTTTGATTGAAAAATTTTTCTGTCACTTTGAGTTTTTTGGGTTGTTCTTAAGCCTTTTAGGGATAATTCTGTCCAGCAAACATTTGTAGGATTGTCCGTCTGTTAAATTATTCAGAGAAGAAAAAAACTTTGCATTGTGGTTCCTGTTTTATGAATGTGTCCCAAAAGTCTGTACTTGCAGAGGTGTGGATTCTGTTTATTTTTATTGATATAATAGTAAACATTCTGTGTTTCTTTCTCTGAATCTTGGCTTTATAGTTAAAAAATAATTACCATAAGGATAAATGCTCACTTCAGTTTATAGCATACTACAAATATATTGTCATTCATATTCAGGTTTCTAAAATTATAATCCTTTCATTGTCTACACCCTGTGGTCATTTAGGATGCTATTTTATCATTATTTTTAACCAATATCCAGATTTTTACCTGATCCTCTGATATGGTAAAAATATAATGTCTAATGTTTTAACTGTTCTTCTCTTACAGTCAATAGAACCTTTAACCGTCTCTTGGAGATTGACATTGAAAAGGAAAAAGGCAAGACTAAAGTTTTCTCCAGTGATCTAGTGACAGTTTTTATTTTTTTATAATAGTACCATGATATATCTTTGAAATTATTTATATGAACTAGGTATTTAGGTGGTTGTTAAATTTATTATAAGACCGATTCAATATATCATTGCAAATTTTGTGATGTTAATTGGAAATGTGATGCATTTACAATTGTAAATACGTAAAGATGTTTTGCGGTTGTGGTTGATGCATTTAGTGATGAGTTACTTGACCTGCTAACAAGGACTCTACAATGGCTAGGGGAGCATTGTAGCATTGCAAAGATATGAGACCGAACTCGATGTTAAAGATTCCACTTTTATTTCAAAACGTTAATGCAGATTCAACAACAATGAATTGTTATATATGAGATGTTTGCTGTTCTGTTGTTATTTTTAATATCTGACGTACAGGTAGTTTGCAAGTGCTTACATATTAAAAGCCACACAAATTATAACTGCTATTATAATTCAATGTTCTTGATGACCATACCTGCATTCTTTAGCATTTGTACAGTAATGGTTAAGAAACCCCTGCAGCTATAAAGAATAGCTAAAAAAACAAAAGCATTTACAATGAGCTCTACATAACCTACGTTATGCAGTTTTTGTATTTTTCATGCACTTTGAAATTTGAAATTAGTATCCTTTTTGATTTGGGCTGTCCATATACGTTTATTTGAATTGTTAAATTTGTTGTTCCTACCTGTGTCCACCACTGTACATAAAAGAATGAGCAAATAATAAGCCATTAATTATGTGAAGCATTTCCTATTTCCTTTAATGGTTTGTTTATCTATATTATATACAGTATATACAATATCCACAATTTATGTTAGATGTTATAAGTTATATCTATGCGAATATGTGATGGATTAATTGGATAAATAATATTTTTTGTTTTTTAAGGAAATTATAATTTATTTTGAGCCAATGTGCTCATATGAGAGGTCATTCTGTTGGTCAGAATGATTCTATAAAGGAATAATTCAGAACTCTCTCTCTGTGCCATGTTTTGCAGAATTTACAAAAGATCCCTTTTTGCTTTTCTTAAAGATTCAACTAGTGGGAGATGCAGCACGTTAGTAGCAATTTGAAAGTCTTGTATTCAGGAACGCAGATCGCTTTTTAAATATTGCCTTGTGGCATCATTCTTATCCCCCCCCACTTAAAAAAAAAATCTTCCCTACTTGTCCTTTAAAACAAACGGACCTTTTCTTTGTTCCAGTCCGTTGTACTGAACCTCCCATGACCGGTCCATGCCGTGCTAGCATGACCCGATGGTACTACGACCCCCTGGTTAAGACCTGCCATCGTTTCAACTTTGGAGGCTGTCAAGGCAGTAACAACAGGTTTGCGACCGAGGAAGAATGTCAGAAAGCCTGCAGTGGAGTAACAGGTGTGACATCCTTTTCCCCACACAGTTTTGTGGTCAACAACATAGAAACAAAAACAGTTGCAACAAAAGGTTCTGTTTTAGTTCTGTAACTATTTTTTTTCTTTTAAAGCATTTTTTTTAGAAAGAACCACTGTTGTATTTTGTTCTATCACTGAATACAATACAACAATGCTTTGGACAATCATTCTGTGTATTCTGTGGTATTTTTTGTGGATCACCTTTTGTAATGCTATTAAAATAAATGTGGCCTTTTAAATGTAGCTCTTGATGTCAGTACAAAGTAAAATGCATTTTGAATGCAGTGAGAAAATGCTAAATTCATGTTATCTTGGAAATGAGAACATTCTGCCAGTGTCAAGGCTTATTTTCTTCATTTAAAATAAAATTATTTTTTTAGAAAAAGATGTCTTCGCAAGAGGATTATTTGAACGTCAGGAGTCGGACAAGTCTCAATCAGGTGAGAAATGTTGGAATAATGTGCTTAATGTTGAACAAATTAACAGTAAATGCTTCCATTCACTGCCTCACATTAGGTTTTCATACAGCCCCCTGGTATCTCAAGTGTTAATTTTTAAATGCTTGAAAAAGGTAAAAAAAAAAAAGGTAAAAAATTATAATGGCTTTATTCTACAGAATATATATCAACAGAAAGGAAATTTTACTTTCTTTGGTACTGTGGTGACTTGTGAATATCGATTCTCTTTTTTTTGTTCTTACTTCTTTAAGGTTCCATTGCTGTGGCTGTTCTCCTTGGAGTTGCCATAGCAATTGTGCTGGCCATTTTAGGGTATTGCTTCCTGAAGAATAAGAGAGAACGGGCCAGAAGGCAGCCGCGTGTGAATGCTAACGGCTCTACCATTTCCACCACCGAAGACACCGAGCGCCTTGTCTACAACACCACCACAAAGCCTATCTGAGAACCTCACAACACAGACTCATCCTCTGCCAAAGGCTTCCTCTGCTCAGTTTGGCGTAGGGGAGTGGACACAGGATCTTTTTAATGCTAATGTTATTTAGCCTCTTGTGATAAACCTACCAAATAATCCACATTTGAAGTGCTGTCATGACTTTACCAGGTGCCTCTGCTTTGAAATGCCTCCTTTTTAGATTTATCTCAGGCCAAGTTCTTCCTAAAACGTTTACTCCAGGTCATCGTTTTGCAAACCTATAGCTCTTGGGGTTCCAGAGTTTGAAATGGGTAAAGGTAGCATCTTCGTCCATATGTTTAAGTGGGTCAAGTCTTACTGGCTTTTAAGAAACACATTATATCTGCTTGAGTAACATCTATTCAACTGCGAATTTGTGCACTTTCATTAAAACCTGTTTCCTTTGCAATGAGATGACAAGCATGTGTTCTGTGTTTTACCTCCCATATTTTACACTTGTTGCTGTACTTAAACTAAGAGCTTGATGACAAATGTAATATGTAGTGTATTTTTAATTTTGGGGGGGATTTATGAAAATGGAATGAGATTTGCATGACCCTCCAGTCCTTGGATGCGAGTGGTTGTTGCTCAGATTTTAAGATTATTCACACTTTTTTATGCTCCATAGAGGCATCTGAGGGCATTTATTTAATAGTTGTAAAATGTGCTTAGTTGGAAATGTATAGAAGTATTTTCTTTTTGTTAGTGGTGTTGTAACAGAGGGTAGGTACAAAGTTGATTTTCCACTAGGCATGTGTTGGTAACACAGGTATTGATTCTGTGGATTGCTATGTTGAAAGATGTCTATGCAAGACAAAATATTTTTCCCTAAGAGAGAACCATTCTGATACTACTAACATGTCTTATCAGCAGATGGATTGTATATACAGTTAATTCTTGTGTTCACCATTTTCCTTAATGAAAATGTCCTTAATGTGATTGTCACGTGATTTGCTTACAGCCAACATCAATTACTAACCTGTTTCCATAAATAGTTGTGTACATATAGTCATATATAGAGATACAGATGTGCAAATAGACACGCATGGACGCAAACACTCAAACAAGCATGATGAATACATTTCCACCTGAATACTGAAAGTTCACTTTTTCTAGAAGAAAACAAAAGCAGTCCAGTACTGACTTAAAACTCTGCATTAAAAACTCTTCATGTTGATTCAGATATTAAAAACATGATACCATAAAAATATAATTCGGACAATATTCTGTTAACAGTTAAATCGTATTGAAAATTGTTGACTGTACAATAATAAAAAACGGAGATAAAAGAAATGATGTAATGAACAAATGTTCCTTTGGTTAGAATTTTCTAAAATCCATTGTAACTTTTGCCTTGTGTTACTTTATTTTTAAACAACCAAGTATATTGCATTATTTAAAAAGTACACTGCAGTTTAGAGAGGCGTTTTGGAGATTCTGTGGGTCTACAAGCATTATGGAAAATGGAAGTGAGGGGGGAGAACACAATATATTTTTGCGTGTGTGAATGAATCCACTCTGTTCTGAATCCATCAGCCCTTTTGAGAACCAGCTATTATTAAAACCCACCAAAGACAATTACAAATATCTACTGGTATAGAGAAAACTGTGTTATTTGCTCTTTCTCATTGACATTTTAAAAGGTTTTGTTTCCCAAAATAAAACTTATAAGCCTGGTATTGGACCATCTTGGGTTTCTTTCGGGCCTTGCTTTAACTGTGATACTGTTTTCCGCAAGCTTAAAATTTCACCTGTGGTTCTTGTCCGGGAAGACCTACTTCTCCAGTGTCATGCATTTCTTGTATTTTATTTGTAGTACTCCAATATTTGTTTGCTTGTTTTTATATAATTTTATCTAAAAATATTTGGCTTTGTGTTAGTTTTGTACTTCAGGTACATTGCTGATAGCTGTGTTGTACGTTTTTTACTGTTCCATTGATATTCACCTTTTTATTTTTTTAGTAATCGTTTTAATGCAGTGTTTTGAAGTGTCATTGTGTTGAAGGGCATGCTGTTTTCCTACTACTGTATGTAACAATTGTAATAAAGGGGATTAAAGATTAAACTAGAGAGTATTTTGCATTGAATTGATTGTACATTGCATGTTGGTAATGATATTTTCTTTCTCAGGCCTACATGGCTTTTTGAACCCTTCAGAATTAAACATACTGTATGTTATAGAAGCTATGGGGACCTTCACCACCTTGTTGACTTTTTTCATTCAATTAATTTTCATTAAAGAAATCCTACACACAAAGCACTATTGTGAATTTTAGAGGAAAGTGCTCAAATGCTGTTGAGATACATCATGCTTGCAACAACTTACTAGTATAGTAGTGCAGCAGTGCAGGTTCTTCAAGATTTGACAAAACTTTTATAAGGCTGAAGAAGCAAGGTGATTTTAAGAATTAAAAACGGAACATGAAACTCCCAAAAAGGCATACGCTAAAACTAAATGTTTAGTTTTGTGCACCAATTTCACATCATGAATTATTTTAAAATTATGTTGATGAGTCCATCTCTCTTTCATTACAGCTAATGTCTTTAGAACAAGACAAGAAATCTGTTCTATTCATTTTTTATTTCAGAATTACTGTATATGTACCGTATTTCAGTAAAAGTGCTTAAGTTTTATATTTTTGGCAATATGAAGAAACTGGCAAGTATTTAGGTACCCAAAAGAATGCTTAGATATTTTATCTTAACAGTCTTACACTTAAAAGGCTCTAATTAGTGTCGTAAGGATTTAAATTATTTAGTTGAATAATTCAACTAGGTAGCTGCGTCAGCATGCGAAGACTGCAAAGGAAGAAGTTTAAGGTTAAAGTTAAACTGAAAGAGCAGAAAGGAAACAACGTTTTGGCTGTGGAGCCTTCTTTGTGTGTGAGCTCACTTCTCCTTTCTTCAAAGTATAATGTCTTACAGAAGTCACAATATTGGTAAACACAGAAGTAGCCTGTTGGATGTAAGGAAATTCTATTCCAAATTATATCCCAAACGCCTTAGTAACAGGTAGCTGCCATTTCATTTTAATAGCTTGCTGGTTTTATTTTCTAGGCTTATTGGCCTATTTTTTACTCTCGTTAACTATCTATGATTAAACGCATATGCAGGGCAAAGTAAGTGGCAATTGTGACAGTTACTTAAATATCTTGGACTAAAATTCTTCATTTTGTTATCTGTACTACTCATCATTTGCTTGTGTCTGCCTCACTTTCTGTAAAACCTTGGAAACAGAATTGATATTCTATGCACTCTATGAGTTTTTTTCTCCCCCAGAAGTCCCTCTGCAACTCATCTGCTTTTTGTCCAACCAACAAAGGAATTTGTCCATCCTGTGGCCTAAATCAGCCTCTCCTGTCCTGTAAGAGATTGAGTTAGGGATACCTGTACAAGGTGCTTTGTTGATCTCGGTCCTCAATCGAGATACCTCCTGTGGCATTTGAGAGTTTCTCAAGTTTTTAGCAGAGTGAGAAGAATGATATTACAAAATGGTGGGTCCTGACACGACATTGTTGATCTTGATGATTTAACGTCCTGTTGATTATTCAGTGATTTGGAATTTGGAATTTCTGCCATATCTGGAACAGCAAACTCTGGGATAATCATGGGAATCATGGCATAAACATCTGTATAACAAGCTTCGAGCACACCAATGCCCCCTCTTAGAATATCATAGCTGAGGTGTTCTTTTATCTCTGCATGCCTCTTCTTCAACAGTCCACTGCTGATGTTTTGCCATAAATATAACAATTTTGGTGATTGGTGAAAAACGTAAATAGGAGAGAAAGCATGGAATGCACATGTAAATTGTACACTTGTGACAAACATACTTTCAGGAAGTTCACTGATAATACATACTGATAATATGGGAGTCCTGTTGCGCGATATACTGTAACTTACAATGTATTTATATTAAATTAGATATTTGAAATATCTCTACCTAATATTGATTGATATGTGGATATAGTTTTTAAATCTATTATTCATGTTCTTATTTCTGCTGTAGTAAACTTTTAAACTTTTTTCTTAATTTATGTTAATAATATTGCCAATTTTAAATATGCACTATGCACTATTACAACTTAAAAAGGTCATAGTCTTCAAAGCTAGAGTATCTAGCTAGATAGCTAGAGTATCTAGCTTGAGATACTGTTGAGATAACAGTATCTCAAGTTTTTTTAATGCTTTGCAATAATCCTTGTGATCATGTAGCTTGCCTTTTTGTTTCCCTGTTGTTTCCCTCACAATACACCCTAGAGATATTTTAAATGTTAATTTCACGTTGCAAAATTGTGCTTTAATTCTGCTGTAGTGGAATTATTTAGGAACTTCTTGAGCAGTGTCTATAAAGTAGCCCCCTATCACAACTTAATACAGAGTAGTACTTTTTAGATTTAGCTTTTGGAAGTCAAAACAAACACAAATGAGAATGATGTTCTTGTCATATCCAAAAGGTGGCAGTATTGCTATTAAAAAGTAATTTTTTGTACAGCTTCAGTTTCTATATTATTCTGCAAACAGAACCATGTGATAGTCAAAGCTTACTCTCTCATACAAATTGAAATGCTGTGCCAGAGGCCAAGATAGTTCATCCTGTATGTGCATTTTGTGCCAAAGGTTGGCACCACAACACATCCCCAGTCATGTTTTGCCAACAAAGTTCACAGATGCAGAACAAGACGTTCTTATCAAACATATGCATCCGTTTACTAATGTTCTATTTGAGTATGTGATCCTTCCTCTAGTTATCTAACTTAAGAGTTATTTAAAAATGAATTTTCTTTTTGAATATGAACAGTGCTAGAACAGGAAAGAAGAAACCCTTCTTTTTAATTGGTCATTCCTATATGTTTTATAGGGCATTTATGCTACAGAACAATACCTTTTAAGATAAGATACAATGTTACAAATCTACAAAAGTCTTGCTCTTTGACCTTGTACCTAAATATTCCACGATAAATATTTTATAGGTTCACTGTTAATACCGTAATGTATCATGCTGCTTTTAAATGGATTGCTTTGACACTGAGTGCATGTATGAATTGTTGGTGAAAGAGTAAAATGTTAGCATTGACTATTGCACAAATAAAAAATGAGCGTCTTTTATTTTTTACAAAGAAACCTCTCTTCAGTAACATTTGAGGAAATTCTGTCGTTTCCAGTACTTGGGTACTTTTTTTCTTTACAGATTTAGAATATTGGAATTTTAGATTTTTTATCTGACATGATAACACAGGCCTGTTGCCGTATTTTTCCAAAATATGCCTTGAGGTTGACAAACAGATGCTCTTTTGTTGGTAGGCTTGTAGGGACTTGCTTCCCACCTTGACAAAAGAAAGGGTATGTCTGTATCTGTTTTAATATACCTGTATTTCCACTCTAGTACAAATTGCAGGACATAAATACATAAGACGTGCAATGGAAACAAGTCCCAGAATCTTACATAAAACACAGTAGTCATATACTATGAGGATTTCAGAGCTCATTCTCTCATTTCTTGCTATTCTTTCTTTCAATAAGGTAAGTGAAGGGAAATAAATCCAGGGAGAATGAAAATGAAGCATTTTGTTTGGAAACAAAATATTTTCAAACTAAAGAAGTGAAAAGAAAATTCCTTTCGCCTCTGCTTACTTTAATTTTGCCAATTGCCTGTTTCAGAGCACAGTTCCTGCAACTACATTTCACAAGTGAAGCCTCCTTGGTCTTTGCAGGGTAATATAAAACAGTAGCTATAAAGACGTCTTTGCGGGATATTTTCACTATAACAAATGCTTTGTGCAAAGTGATCACATGAGCTAGATAAGGGGCCCATATTGCACAAGACTGAACTTTAGACACCAACACACGGAATATCATCTTGTTCTTAATTATCTCTCAAAAACTAGCGGCAGCTGCTCAATGACCTCTTATCTTCAATCTTTCTGAATCATGCAAGCATCATCATTTATTTGTCATACCTCTTTTTAGTCTGTTACCCTTTTACAGTATCAATGAACATTTCCTTGTTTGCATGGGATCATATAGTATATTTTATTTTCCTGAATGATCTACAATCAAATAAAGGTGTGCTTAATAAGCAAGCAGCCTAATTCATGGTAAACAGATAGGCTTTTAAACAATACAGTGAATTCAGCAATTGTGGTAACTTGAATTAAGTTTGATTCTGTATTACACATTCTTCCTTTTAACTGCTTACAGTATATTTGCTGAGCAGCTTGTGTTGGCTTATTGATGTTGTGTTAAACACTGGCAAAGTAGGAAAAAAGCCCAGAGAGGTACTGTATGCAACAATACCAATACTGCAGTCTCCTCAGTAAACACAGTGGCCAGCTAGTTGCTACTGGCATCATGAGAAAAGATTAATTAACATAAAGAGTTTAGCCCAATTTATAAAGTAGTACATCACAGAATATTAATACAGAGCAAACCTTTGCACTCATTAATTCAAAGGCCTATCATTAATTCAAAGGCCTATATCAGGTAATTACAAGATAAGGTTACTGTTATTATTCAAAGTATGGCTGAATAATGTGAATTGTTTAGTTTTAAAGCACTTAAAATGCAAACTCTGCTATTCAATAGTCTTAAGTCACACTGTTCTGTTTTTTTTCACTTTTTTTTTCTTTAGGTAGAAGCACAATTTAATGATGATGATCCACTACTACATTAATTGTATTTTAAGAGAATGGTTAATTCTGACAGACTTGTACAGTATTTTGCTTTTTGAATGTATAGAGAAAACAAACTATGTCATTGACAAGAAACACTTAACAATAAGTCAATTAGATTTGATGGATAATTGGAGAACAGTAGGCTCTGGCTCCTCTGTGACCCTGAATTGGGTGAAGTGGTTAGTAAATGGATAGATGGAGTGGAGTAGCAAGTACAGTACAATATTTTATATTGGCTGCTCATGTATATAATACCTCGTTTTGCTGTGCTCATGACTCTGAAGATTCCGATTAACGTTAATGAAAGACAACTAGATAGCAAGATTGGTTTCTTCTCACCAAAACTAAACTGTATTACAAATGCAGTTTTATAATGCTCATAATATCCATATAACTCTTGCTTTTGTCCAAGACTTAAAGCTGTGTACTCCTTTTCAAAGTGCTAGGATAATAAAAGTGTAAGTCTGATGATTTGTTAAAACTTGGAATATGTCTATGATCCTTTAAATTAAAATCAGATAATAGAATATTCAGAAGGAATGTATATGAATAAATATATGAATCTATGAAGTATTATTAATAATAATGATATATATGGTACTTTCAGACACATTCCAGCAATGATATGCACCTGACTCTGTGTGTGAAGCAAAAGAAAACTTCTTTCTTGTTTTAAGTGACGAGGATCAACAGATATTTCCCATTACAGGTCTTTTGAGGTGGCTAAATGCCTGTTTGTATTAACTGCACCCTGAAGGTGTTCCTTTTCCTAATTCATATACTGTCTAAATCTTACAGACCCAGTACATCAAGTTCATTGTCAGCAAAGATCATCCAGTATTGTTATCGGCATAAAAGTATAGAATGATTTTATGTGTGTATGTTGTGTATTACTTACCATAATATTCAGTCTTCTCCAGTAATATCCAGTATAATTCTGTTTGGCCCTGTTTATGTTATTTGGAACAAATGCAAACCAGATATACACTTGGCTTGCCAAGACATTAGAAACCCCCAGTCAAGTGAAGTGACTCTGTCAGTGGCAAGTATCCATTTCTGGTTTAAGGAGCATGGGACAGGCTGCCATCACCTTTATTGGACAGAGCAGTTTCCATATTTTAATCCTATTGAAGCCTCACGCTACTGATGGAAACTGCATACAGTACCATTATCCTTGACACAAAGTGAACTGAATCAGTTTTGCTACATAAATGGGATGGGACAAAATTATGAATATTTTAAAACCTTGTAGAATACATACCATATTTTGTTCAAGGTATTTTTGTTGTTCACAGAGGATGGAGGTTTCTAATATTCTAGCAAGTGAATATAAAGGTTTTATGAAACTTGTAAGCACTTAACACAGTGACCAAATATTTTGTAACTGAACTGCTTTTTATGTCTTGTTTTTCACAGACCAAACAAATAGCCCATTATATTGTAACATTCTTATGTTCTAAAATAACAATTCCAAATTAATTACACAAAAGTTCAGCTATTCAAACAGTGGGGGGATGTTTAGATTTGCCATCTAAAAACCAGTCTTCTCTCTTGTACTTTGAGACGCACTTCAACAGTTTTTATTGTGTTCATTTCAGCAGCTAGAACGAGGGTTTGACATATTTTATATGAGTTTAGACTACAAACAAAGGGCAGTATTGATTACAGAGGGTAATAATAATTCCTTACACTTATATAGCTTTTTCCTGGACTATCCACTTAAAACGCTTTACAGGAAATGGGGACTGCCCTCCACCACCACCCACCATGTGTAGCATCCACCTGGATGATGTGACAGCAGCCATTGTGCACACAGGTACGCTCACCACACACCAGCTATGAGTGAGAAGGAACACAGAGTGATGGGGATTGTTAGGAGGCCATGATTGTTAAAGGTCAGGAGGAAATTTGGCTAAGGCACCCCTGGGATTTTGAATGACTACAGAGAGTTTTACATCTCATCTGAAGGAAGGTGCCTTTCTTACAGTACAGTGTCCCCATCACTATACTGGGGCATTAGGACCCACACAGACTGTGGGGTGAGTGCCCCCTGTTGATCCCACTAACACCTCTTCTGGCAACAGCCCTTCCCAGGAGGTCTCCCATCCTGCTAGTGGCCAGGCTCACACCTCCTGAGCTTCTGTGGGTTGCTAGTTGTGAGTTGCAGGGTGATATATCTATATCAGTTGCTTGTCTGCATAGTTTAATTATACTGTTTTGGCAGACAGCCCCTCTGATTGAAGAGGACAAGAAGGCCATCTTAAATCACCCCATTAATTTCACAAGCTGTTATGACCACAGAGATCCTTGACAAGTTTGTGTGTCTGAATAAAAAGTACTATTAACCCAAACAATGAAAAGTATAGATAACACACAAGAACATTGTGATTCAAAGCATCACTTAACCCTTCCACGTTTCATTGATGTGACCACCCTCTAAGAAAAACACACAGTTTCCTCGTCCTTGCTGATGAGAAGCCGAACTATGACACAAATCTGCCACTGCCATGCTTCACAGGAGGGAAGGTTTTGACTGAGTGAGGCATCAAATGTACAGCTTTGCATTTAGACCAAATAGTTCAAATTTTAACTCAGTGCTTGGGTGTTTTCATGCAAACCCCATGCAGGATTTGAGATGTTTATTTTCAGTTCCAGTCAAGACCCATAATGGTGTTATTTGGGATATTTTTGACCCATAGACACTTTCTTCTATCTCAGTCACCAAACCCTGTAATGTTCACTTTTGGAGTTATTGAATAGCATCTCTCATCAGTTTGTACCATCAGGAAGCTGGTAAAACAGATTAATTTGGCAATGTCTGAGTGGCTTCCTCATCTTAATGTTTGAAATCTTAATATTTTACATATTAAGGGGCTTTTAAATGTTATTAGGCCCTTGTATTATTTTATTAGCAATTATTAAATAGATAATTAACTTTCTATTTACTTCTTTCTGTCTTGAATGTGTGAAGTAGGTTGTGTATGTAACAAATACTATTTGTTAGGTATAACAAAGCTAGGTTTTCTTGTGTTTCAGACTGTATTGACAGTCATACTCCTGTTCTCTAAAATGTCGAAACTGTTTGCACAATACGTTAGGTACGCACGTAGCCACACAGTAATCACACGTACCTGCCCATCCCCTTTTAAAAAATGCGCTGAAATGCTTCAGTACCAACATCACCAATAGCCAGACTTCCTGACTGACGTAATCTGAGATTTGAAACTGCTGCGAGTTTAAATCGGTGGAAAATATGTACAATTTTAAATAATTGGGATGGAAAATAGTTAACTCCACATGATTGGTCAGATGTTTAATTTGTTTTGTGTTTGAATTGTGTGCTGATCCCTTAACGTTGATTGAAAAAAAAAAACTAGAAAACTTTCTTTTTTTGCCGAATTTTCTGCGCAGCCGCAGATAAGGTAGTGCCTTCTCATGCTTCATACTGAAGGTTTAGTGTGGTTATTTTTTGCACACAGGCGGACTTGCCTGGATTTGATGGTAGTGCGGGGAATTGTTTTCTGAGGACTTTAGCGGTTTTTGAATGATTGAAATCAGCGCATAACTTCAAATGCTTCATCTTCTCCATTCTTTCTGCGAAAATAAGAAAAGATTCATAACATCCTTTAGAGTCTGGTAAGTAATGAACAGATTCCGCGTAACTGTGTTCTTGTAGCGCAATTTCGACCTGAAAAAAATATTTTAATAATCTCAAGTACACACACCTGAGCACTTTTATGTTGACGTCCATACTTGTTTGCAAGGTGGAAACAACGAAATAACGCTATGGTTCTGAGCTTTGAATTTCGGTTTTGAATTTGAATTTCGGTTTTGAACTTGTGCTTTTCTGTCATTGAAAAAAATAAAAAAGAAGCACTATTTGCACTGGATACATTGTATATCATTACTAAACAATGAGCACTCAAATATATTACTGACCTGTCTTGTATTTAGGTGTGAAAAGGTGTAGGTGCAGATTTGAGAGTATAGTACAAAGAAGAGTTAGGTGGTTTATGTTTTGATACACTACAGTGAGTGCATCTAAAGTTTCCAAGTCATATTTATTTAACAGAAGGAAATAAAAGTATAACTGCGCTGACAGGAACGTTTGCAGATTTTTATTGCTTTGAAGTAATCCAATCTGCGAACGTAAACAGTCTGAAGAGTTTCTTTAAAAACATCTGTTTGCAAAACAAATTTGGGCACTTACGTGTGATAAGCTAGTGGCAGCTAAAAATCCAACTAAACTGTAACAAATCTGTTTCCTGTGTTAATATGCAGTGTCCACATAAAGACCAGATGAAAAGGATAGTTTTTGTACGCAAGAGCAGTGTAACTAACAAAACATATATATTGTGTCGAGCAGTTAAAACATTTTTTTATTTGCCTGTTAGAGGTTGATTTCGAGGGAAGGCAGGTTCCTTGAGCCCAGAAAAGAAAGAAATACTCCCGTAATAACCTCAAAGAGTAAGCCACAATGATATTTTTAAACTACACAATTATACACTGAAGTATATTGAGGTCTACAATAAAATTGGTTGATGAAGTCTTTGTTTATGCTGAGCGCACGATCAATATTGAGCTGTCAGTATTGCTTTCGCCGGAATGGAGTTTGAGGGAGTGGAGAAGGCAGTTCATACTTTTTTTCTGTTATTTGGATCTATTAAATTAAAGACAGAAGTGTCCGTTCTTGAAAGTTTATTAGAGGACTTTGGAAAATCCTTGCAAATAAGCAGCTTACAGGGTAGGCACGAGGCGTCTCGAACTCCATGTGCTAATACTGTATATTGTATCGTACCACTTGTCTGTGATTGTCAGAGCGGACCTAAAACTTCTCCATAAGCCTAATGCGTACTTCTAGGACCCAAATCGTTTGTTCACTCGTGAGACAACTGGGCGTAATAGAGAACTTAAGTTTCCCGAAATTCCATTCTTTTATCCATCAGTTGACGGATAAGGCTTTTTAAAGACGTTTACACAATATTGTATATCCACCTATCCGCATGTACCTTACTGTTACAGTCTTTGTGAATATATTTGATTTTGTTATTGTAGTTCACTTTTATTATCAGATAAGAGATCTGGAGGGAGGAAAACATCTTAAGAACAGAGATGTGCAGCAGTAGTACTTTGTAACAAAACTGTTTTGTGGAAAACCAATAATGTGAGATTAATACAGTGGACGCTTTATCTCCTGTATTCCCCATGAAAACCAATGTGAATTGAAGAATACAGAATCCTGAGAGGCCATAGCCTTTCTGTCCATAAGAACCATGATCTGATTTATGTAATGCTGTGGATTAATATAATACTAGAATAATTGTTATGTTTATGTTTGAGATGGTTCTGGGATTTGTTTCTGCCTTTGGGTGCTTTCTGTGTGGAGTTTACATGTTCTCTCTGTAGTCACATAGCCTTTTGCCAGGCACATTTGTTTTCTTCCACAGTTGAAAGGCATGTTGTTTAGGTTAAGTCTCTTTAAATTACCCCCATATACGTGAGTGTATATGCCCTGGAATAAACCAGCATGTTGTCCAGGAGGTATCCTCCTGTGCTTGTGTTGTCTGCTGGGTTAGGCTCCAACTCAACATGACATTTATTGGACATGGTTTGACAGTTCATGGAAATAGAAATAAACTGCAGCAAAGCGTAGTGTAAATTGTCTGTTCTAAATCCAGACATTCTTCTTTCATGGGCCGGATGCATACATCTCACATTTCCAGTAACAAACAAAAGAAGAATTGCATTGGTGATGATAATTTGCAGACTTCACTTTATACAGAAGGCGTTATTTGGTGTTCACAGGCAGTTTATCTGGATATCCAGCGTGTTACTACAAGCTCTCACATGATTACGCATGAACCAAATTAAAGTGGTTATAGAAACATGCTGAGTGGCTTTCAAAATGGTGTGTTGCTTCAAGACATCAAGCATCTCTAACTAAATATGTTATGGAAAGTGACACTGAACACGGAGCAACTCCCAGGAGGAACGTCTCATTATGTTTGTTACACCTGTCATGATTCTCTTCACAGGAATTATTAGTGCACTCATCTAGATGTAATATAACAGAAGGAAGTGATGGGCCAGAGAATGCCTGGCTGAATTGTCTGTTGACTGTCATTCCGGCTGAGCTCTCATTTACCTTAACTGAGGCTTTTAATTGTGCTCATGTTTTGCACACATAGATTTTTTGAGTTGTTAAAGAGTTACAGAGAGCAGGGGAATTTTCACTGCATTGCTAATGTGGAGGAATTGGTCATTCCCGAGGCCATTTTCTATGTGTATAATAGTAACCTTGAGAGAGTAAGAGATTTACATCACTGCAGTTTGCACTGTTCATATCCCTGTAGTGTGCCAGAGTGGTAGAAGATGACTATAGAAGAACAGGCTAGACCAGTTATATTCTCTCCCGATCCTGGAGGGACCCAGCCCAGAGTGGAATGAACACCATAATGAAAATAATAATTCCTTACACTTATATAGCACTATTCTGGACACTCCACTCAAAGCACTTTACAGGTAATGGGGACTCCCCTCCACCACCACCAATGTG